CGTCGTTTGGGGCTTGCCAGTGAAGCTTGCAGTTACGGTACGTACGTTGGCCACGTTGCCTTGCTCACAACATGATGTTCATTTGCGACTGCTTCGCTCATGCCGGCCGTTGCCGTGACGCGAAGTGCAAAGATTCTCCAGTCACCATGTCTTAAATTGCATGCCATCTTGTACCTTGGCACCTCAAGCAGTCTCAGTGTCGACAGTGGATGGAGAGCAGGAAGAGCGGATCAAAAAGAACGGCAAGTTCATGAATGCTCTAACTCGCAGTGTCCCTTAGCATGATTAACTAAAGAGCGACTATGACTTGAGATTGTCTGAGGTGGACCTCACGCCTATCATGCGCTCAACTCTGGAGTCGACGAGGGCACGGCCGGACTGCCAGACGTGTTAACCTCAGAACGCTGGTCTAAGGTCTCTTGAGCGGCCCGCTGCTCGTCTTGCAATCTAGCTGCTGCGCGGACCTTGAGACGGTGTGGGCACACAAGGGGATCTTCCGGCTCGACGAAGTTGAGGAAGGAGCTGGTTCGTGCCGAATCCTTCCGGAGCTCCTCCTCACGGCGAGCCAAAAGCCTGAGCTCGGCCTTCTCGAAACGCTTGATGCCTTGCAGGAGCAACTCCACCTGTAGATCATGCACAAGAACCAGTATTAGCACTTTGAATCTTGAAGAACGTGGGAAGCAAACCGGCTCGAATGTGTGCGGAGCAGTGAATTGTTGCCTCGCTTTTGCGAATAGGCTGAAGTCAAGTGTCGAACAACGTTCTTCAGGTTTTGGTCTCGAAAATTGAGCATATATCAGGATCAAACCTGAGCGAAAGAGGAACGATTGGATCTCGACTTTGATACGAGCAAACCCGACTGCGATTCAATAGCAAGCAGCTCTAGTACGTGCCGCGAGTCATTCGCAGAATCAGTTTGAGGATTCTTGCTTGAATCATACAGTGCACTGGTCATTGACTTGCCTTTTCATTACAAGCTAGCTCAACCAGATCAGTCGCGATTTGAACAGGTAGGCCTTCGTTCCTTACCGTGACTTCAGCCAGTGCTGCCCTAGCAAACGTCGTGGGCAGGGAGTCAGGAACGCCGTCGCTGACATCGATGTTGCTCATTTGAGCCAGCAGCTTCCGGAATTGTTCGTGTCCATAATCGTCGCTGCCCGCCTTCCGATAGGCGTTGTCTGTTAGAGAGCGAAAAAGTTCAGATCGATTTCGACAAATCCGCTGGTCCTTATACAACTTGGTGACGGTCATGCGCGGACCACACCGAGCTCAAATCAAGTATTTCAAATGGCTACGTTTCGAAAGGATCTCGATAGAATGGATTCGGTTCTCGCAAGGCTCGAACTGAAGGAACAGCCGCAAGGTCAACAAACAAGCAAAGCAATCCTGTTACCGGCAGATAAGCCCAACCTAAAAGGATCCTTCGACAAGTCAGAGCGCAACTTTTCAAGGCTACTCTGAAGATATTGAAGGAACAAGCAACTGATATTGATGTCGAAGAGAGATTTGCGGCCACTCGCCAGATGTGAACATCAAGTAGATTCCAAGAAATCTTGCTGAGAGTGAATCTGATTGAGGCTGTCGTTCACCTTTGAGAAGCGGGGTGGCACTTTGAGCCCATCCCTCGGAGTGGAGAGCAGGCAGCTTGTAGTTGGCGTATGTGTTGTTGCGCAGCTCCGAGATCGTCTGGCCTCTCTTCTGGCGGAACCCCTTCATCTGGTGCGCCTCAATGATGTCGTGATACACGTCCTCAAACAGGTCCATCTTCTCGGGGTCGTTGGCGGTCACCCGAAAGGCCAAACGGGTGTTGCTCTTCATGATGTCTGAGTCTTGAACGCCTGAGGCTAACAAGCTCAGGTTGACGGCGTCAGATGCCAGCAGCTGCAAGCATTTCCAATGTTCCATCAGACCCTGAAACGTGCATCAAAGTGTGTGGGTTCTTTGGACAAAAGTTGATGTTTAATAGGCAGTTTTCCAGGTTATAGGTAGTCTATTGTCAAGGAACCATTTGGCAGGAAGGGAGCTTTTACATCAAGCAGGTGTGCAATCAAAGACCAGCGGAGTTGTTCCACGTATCAAAAGAAGGTCGTTTTAACAGTCTTAATGGCAAGGACCTGAAAATAGAAAGCCTTTCCTTCAGATTGGTCTGATGTCACAAGTGAGCGCCAGCTTCGATGAAATATTCCGCGTAACAATCTCACTCATACATGCTTCTGACAGAAGATCGATGAGCACTCCCAAGAGACTGCCTACAAAGCAGTTCTTGGATCGCTTGACACTCCACAAAGTGGTCCGTAAGAAAAGTGTCAAGACAGCTTACCTTTATCATGGATTTGTTCGCTGAGAGCAATTTGGGATCCGCTTGAAGCTTGTGGAGCAGGCTTTGCTCCTCCGACAGCGTGCTGTTGGCAACTACCTGGAGAGTGCTGCCAGCACTCCCTTGTTCCTGCAGAACAAGTCTTTCTTGAGCGCAAGTGGGCGGTTGGGAGGACGGGGTTGGGCTAACTGTGTTGCATTCTGGCAGGGTTCACTCAAGTTGAAGAGGTGCTTTGCAAGAATGTAAGGAGAACCACAGGGCAGACACTGTGACGTGCCCTGATACATGGTCAGCTTGACTGTGGCGAATGCCTGACAAAGCTCTTGTACATTTTGCTGACTGCAAAAAGGTGCTTACCGTTGTACGGGCACTCTCTGCCTGCAGACTTGACTGGCTGCCCTGCTTTGAGTTCGCACGCTTCACTTGAGCCAAAACCTGCGTGAACATGCTCATGAGTTTGTCCTGCTTGGCCCCTTGCGCTGCCTGGTCCTGCTGCACTCTCACGAAGGACGCAAGAAGGAGGTTGGCGTCAATGCCTGCGAGGGCGTTGCTCGTGGTTGCTCCGCTGACCACTATTTCCGAAAGGGTGGTGTTCTTGGGGGGCTTGGTCACCGTCTTCGCACCTACAGGAGGACACATGAATGTCAGGGAATAACAGGTCCTTGTAAAGCAACAAGACTGCACTGTAAAAGAGCAACATAACTGTTGTGGTCAACGGGTCTGGATCATTGAAGAAGAGCTGATCATCAAGAAGCAGCTTGGGGGTAAACAATCAGTACTTATGAGTGCTCTGAAAACGCTTCACGATTCTGTGAAATGGTCTTAAGGCAAAAGCATCAACCTCTCTCCTGAAATGCTGGCTAGATCGTAAGGTCATGCAATCTTGCAATGGCCTTCAAGCCCTACAATCAAGCCCTCTAAAGCTGCAAAGGGTCACTCACCTTTGCCATAAGGAACAATTGCACCAGCCTTCTTCTTGGTTTTTTTCTTCTCCTTCTCCGCTTTGTCCGCCTTCTCCTTCCCTGTGCCCTTCTTTTTGTTCTTCTCCGCAGCTTTTCCTGGAGCTACACTTAGCAGCTCAGCCAGTTCCGTTTCAGCATCAACCTCAGTGCTGCTTCCGCCTGGCATTACAGCAGAATGAAAGCTTAAATTTGTGAGACAGGGCTGCATTGAGCTTGCAAGAAGTCAACCAACAGAGTAGATGCATTGGCATCCTTATAATGGCTTAAATAATTTGATCGTGATGTTGCTCGCATTTAGCAAGTGTTCCAGAACCTTCCTTCCCCGTCCAATGTGAAGACTGAGTACAGCATTGCTTGAAGACGGTCTGAAGGGTCCACCCTGATTTCAAATCTCACTTCCAGATTGAGTCTCCAGAGCGACCAATCTAACATTGTGCATTCAAGGCAACTGAAAGCACGGAGGCGTCGAGACCTTGAGCAGTAAGTCTGATCACACCATGTCACAGGCAGTAAAAGAGTAGCCAAAATCAGGAACTCATGTACCTTTTTCCAATTCCTCAACTTCATCTCCTTCGTCATCGGAATCCGCAGCATCATCCTCCTTAGCCGGGTCAAAGTCTGTTTCTGACCCATCGCTTCCTGATCCGTCAGAGTCAGAGCCAGAACCAGACTCTTCATCGGTCTTCTTTGCTGGAGAGTAGAGAGGTTTCATCTGTCTGCGGGGTTCCTTCTGCTTTGATTGAGGTGCATTCGTCGCAGCTACTGCTTGTGCAAAGGCACTTGGATTGTTCTTCTTCAGCCACTCGATTGCCCCATCAGAACCCTGCATATGAGCGATACGGGCTTCGCCGGTTGCTGCAGCCCTTTTTGGACGAGAGTTTATCTGCATCTCTGCTGAGCCTTCAACTGGGACTTCCGGGTCAGGGAGAGACCCTTGTCCATCCTCCTCTATAACCTGCTGCTCTCTATTTCGCTTTCTGCCCATGGTGGAGCTTGAGCTTTTTGAGAGGAACAGAGGAACAGCGACTCGGAGCACAAGAAATCCTTAGCGAGCCTCTGGCGTTCTGACTTGTGTTCAGAAGTTTTCAAAGCTCTTCAAGAAGTGGCAACTTGAATCCAAGTCATCTTCATGCTAGGCATCTAATATAGGTAGGTAGCAGTGCTTACCCAATGCTGCATGCAGTCTGACCTCGTCGTCCATTCAAATTTAAAGCTAGCGGACCACCATAAAAGCGATCGAAACCATCGATCAAAATGATCGAGGGCCTTCAACGCATCAATCTTGGCGGGAATGAGTTCATAGACAAATGGCCCGTCGATTTTCCTTGAATCGGAACCGTGTGCAAGTTCAACGACGGTGGCCGATCCCCTTGTACTCGAGTAATTGCAGCCTTTGGATTCAAGCAGCCCGATGCAATCAATGATGACGATTTGCTGCTGATCTACCCCAGCACAAAGCATCAAACTAGATAAGGCCCAGTCATTGGAATTTGGCCCAAGCCAAATGCAGGCGGTAATGGAAACCACTCTGGAGTCTGCGCGCGGCCGCCTTGAACATTCCCACTCAGCCTTCTTGCCTTGGTAGTTCTTAATCCATTAATGGCCACCATTTCTGCTGCGTCTTTTCTTAGGGAAGGGAGGTGGAGCACCGCTCTGAAGGGTACTCTGCGAGCTGAAGTGCTCTTGTTTACATTCCGGAACAGCGGTGAAGCCTTGGATACCCTCATCCAGGGGGTGCCTCAGCGCTTACCAGCTTACCAGCTTAGTGACTGAGGCAAAGTTGAACCCATATGCCCACCTCCTTTTGTGCTCTGAGTCTGATACAACCCCAGCAAACTGCTGATCAGATCGTTGGTGTGTGGAGGATGCTATTCAAGTAGATCTAGCTACTGCTTATTGGCTGAACCCACGTTCCAGCAACTAATGGCCGCCGGTGGCGGAGATGTGGGCAGCAGCAGTGCTTTCTTTCAGTTGCTAAGCTCCAATAGATCAGCCAATGCTTGGAAGTTTCTAGAGCCTTTGGGATCCTGTGCTGGAGAAGCAGGAGCCAGCACATCTCCCCTTCCAGCGGCCACAAGCTATTGTATTTATCTAACTGCCCCTGTCGAGATGCGTCCGGTGGATGCTTACATGCACTTTGCGTGCATCAGGGACACAACAGGCTCTAAACAGGCACAATATCAGAAGCATTATGGCAATGAGAGCAAGTTTCTGCACAGCGTTAATCAGAGATTTGGTACCAGCCACTCATTTGGTGTTTTGAAAGCTTGGTTTGCATCCACAAAAGAAAAGCGCAAGCAGAAACAGAAGGGAGCGATGTCAGTGAAGGTACTGCGAGTTGAGCCTTTGCATGGCTCTGAAGGAGGTGCAATGCAAGGAGACGTAATGGAAGCAGCAGCCGCAGTGCTTTCTTGGTAAGTTCTTCTGTGCTTCATCAACAAACTTACGTCTTGCTGGGTCACCGCATCTGCCATATTCTGATCAGATGTCCCAAATCAATACGGAATGCAGCAGACGTAAGTCTTTTGATTCTCGTAGCATGCGTTGCCTCTTGCCATCTTAAGTAGCACAGCATTTTGTGAGGCAGTTATCAATAAGTTCAAAAGAACCTGTTTGGATAGGAATGAAGAACTTGCTCTAGAGAAACATAACAACAAGCCTTGACAAATGCAAACTGATGATGGCAGTGGTACGCAGATCATTTGTTTAGAGGTGCATCTGAGTCAGGGTGCAGTGCATCTATTGCTCGGAGCCTGACTTTCATTCCATTTATGCATATTGACCTGTTGATTATTTGCAATCAAACATTCTGGTCATGTGCTTTGAGGTCTTCAGTCATCTTTATAAGTTCCCCCTTACAGCCAGGGCCCAGTTATCCAACCGCCACCAGCAGACGTGCCGGTTGTGGACCAGGCTGCGGTGCACTTGCGCGACGTGAGCGGCAGTCTGGGCAAACGGAGGCATGTGCTGACATGTGCGGCTGATGTCGCACAGAAGGTATGTTTTCATCCCGCGTTCGCCTTGGGGCTTAACCTGTCTTCCATATGGAAAGGCTGCCAAGTTCAAGAAGGTGGTATCATGTCGATCGAGGCGCTGGTGTTTGCTTGACAACCATCTCAACCTAGCCAGCCTAAATACATAGTCAGCTGAGCAGCATTGCAAATTTAGTAGCAGTTCATTATATTACGCATGCTCTTAGGTAAGTGGGGAGGATTCGAAAGCAGGTGCAAAGAATCTTCGACTTCGTCTTGACTTTCAAGCATTCGCTGCCATCAACTGTCAAGATGAAAAGAGGAAATACTCACGAGAATTCAAGCGAGACACTTGGTCAGATCCGGGCAATTGCTAAGGTTCCAGCGTCAGGATGCGACAAGTTGCCACCTTCTCGTTGCTTAAAGGTTGATTTGCTTTACTTATAATGCAGGAGGCGCGCACCAGGCAGGAAGACCCCTCACCATCGAGGTCGGGCGCCCCCGTACATGGCCCAAAGCTCACCGGGGCTGCTTCGCAATCCGAAGAGCCGTCTTCTCCAGGCCCCTCAAACGCTGCAGCGCGGGCCCTCTTGGCACTCACCGGGGACCCAGCGGCGCGGGGCAACACAACTCGCGATCGTGTATGGAGCACGTCTGGAAAGCTGGGGTTAGAGGAGCAGCCGGTGAGGATCGCGCACTTCTTCTACTTTGTAATACGTTTGTGTTTCGATCTGAATTGCCCCACCAAATTGCATGATGAGAACGTTGAGGGCAACTTGGTCTCACTCCCCAGCGTAAACCATCTAGGCAACCCTCAAGTCCAATGAGAGGTTCCTGTTCTTTAAGGTGGAAGTAGACTGTAGATACTCTCGAACTTGACGTTCTCTTAGTTGCTCGTCTATCTGCTGCAGATCAAGCAGATTGATGCGGAGAAGCCTGTCGACAAGGACTCGGGACCTGAGTCGGGAGCAAGCTGCGCTCCCGCACCCCTGCGGCCACCCGTTGAAGATCCACCTGAGCAACACGAAGTGCCGCAGATTCTCCTTCTCCCCGACCGGACCGGCATCAGGTTCGGTGAGATGTTGGGAAGTGGAAGCTTTGGGGCTGTTTACGAGGCGTCCCTGGAGGGGAACCATTGGCCGAATTGGCTTCTTGAGAAGAGCGTCGTGGTTAAAGTACTCCACAGCAGTGCTACTGGGGGCAGAATCGATCGACGTAGTTATGACGAGTTCATCCTCGGTTCGGTTCGCCACCCTTCTCTGGTCGGCTGCCTTGGGTTCACGCAGTCGCTTCCGGTGTGCGCCCTGTTTGAGCGGTGTAATCGGGGCTCACTGTGGGAAGTTTTGCAAGGCAGCAAAAGGTTGGAGGACAAAGTCCGCCATCTCGAGGCGATCAGAAGCAAAGGTATTTATCTCGTCGTCCAACTAGGAGAAGGGATTGCTCATCTCCACAATCTCGGACTCATTCACTGCGATCTTCACGAGAAGAACGTCCTTCTTCACCATTGTGACGACAGGTTACAGCTACGGGTTGCAGATTTTGGACTCTGTAGTCGAACGAGTGATCGTCGCTCACATAAGATGATTAGAGTGCAAGAAAGAGAAGATTATAGGAGACGGCATCCATCCATTGCTCCGGAGCTCCTAGTAGGTGGTGATTACTCACCAGCTTCCGACATGTGGGCTGTCGGCTTCTTAGCAGAGAAAGTTCTTGGTATAGAAAGGTGGACTGGTAAGCCGCTCAGCGGGGTGTGCAAAGTGCGGTTGAGCGCTAGCAGTTCTCGAGTTCTCAGAGCTTGCTCGTCAGTCCCGAGCAGAAACAGGCCGTCGATTCACGAATTTCTAGACACTTTCCGGAAAGATTTACAATAGTAGGACGCATGCCGGAGCTGCCTCCACTTATCTATAAACGATAGAGCTTGAGTTCAATTTGGACGCTTTAATGCAAACGATACTGACGCTGTAATTAAAGCGTTTTCCGGATTTAAAACAGTGTGACCCCTAGGCTTGAGGAGCGGCGGCCGCTGCGCGGTGGCGCATGCTCATTTCCACCGCGCACCAGCCACTTGGCCGTACAAGCGAACCTGATATCGACTTAAGCAAATCAATTGGCAAATTTTTGCACGACCCCACGGTTGGACGGACGTACGGATGTATGCAACCAGATGATTCCGATCTTAAATGCAGATTCGTGATTTACACAAATGCACGGTATAGGTCAAATTAACACTGTTTACATATTTTCGTCTATCTCTGTTGGCATCCATCGGACATCAGATGATTGCATATGGCGCGTCGTCGTGGTGCTAGGCCCCGGGCCGGACTTCATATGCATGTGCGTTTGCGCGGCCAACTTTTGACCCGAGAAGCCCGGACAGCTTTCGCTAGACGCTTCGATATATAGGCGCTACCGTTGTACGCTTGTACGTACCTCGATTTCATCGCGCGGCCGGGAGTCCCAACTTCCGACGTGTATACCGATTGATGGGGCAGTTCCGTGATCTCGTACATGCGCTCGACCAGGCATACTATGTAGCAGACTTTTGAGAGCTTGCGTAAATAGCCCTTCAACACCATCATATGATTCGGTGAACTTGCATCACTCGTTGACATATATATGTATGTCATGCAACTTGTCAGATCAACCGCGAGTCAATTTCATTCTTCGTAAACTGCCAGTCATACAGTACACTGACATCATACATATGCGCAGTCACTAATCGCTGCTGAGATCCGACCGCAATCTACTAAGTGGGTATGTAGTGCATTGTCGGTGTATTTCTATGTCGCAAGCCTGTACATCCACCATGACACACTGCCTGATCGTTGCGCCGCAGTGGTCCGACCTGGTGTGACCGCTGCACAAGTCATATTGTAGGGCGCCCGACGGTTCAGAGCAAAGTCGTTTTTAGAAGTTAACAGTAGCTCTTGTCCATTGATTGTTCAGACTCAATGTACCTTGGTTGTTCTAGATAAATATTTACATGTCCTGAATCTAGCTGGCTCCCTATCAGATTGCTACGTACACAAAAGCAGCCTGTATATCGATACACGGTGTACTTACACTACTCGAAACGCGTTCACATAATACATGTTTTCGTGATTCGGATCGGGAATAATGTGCTCGAGCCTCTTGATGGACTGAATCCCGACAACTCCATATCGATCTACTTCGCGCCCATCTGACCCCTTGACCTTCTCCCACTTCAACCGGATGCAATTCGTCACGTCTAGAGGACCCGTCTTCTGGTACCACCTTACGAAAGCATACGCTCGCTTCTTGCCCTTATGATCAGTGCACGAAAACAACAATCGGAGCTGCGCAAACCAAAGGACCTTCACCCGACCGCCGTTCCTTCCTAACTCCTCCCCTTGGACGACGACGTCGTTGAACAGCGGTCGGCGTTTTTTGCCAAAGCTGGGGTTTGCTCGAGCAAGCTCCGTCTTCAACCTCCCGTCTGGCTGGCGGGCTCTGGCGATTGCAAGCGTCAGGTGGCGGGTAATCTGCCAAGAAACACATAAAACCTTCAGCAACCGCAGATGCCAGGAGTCTCGAAAGTGCTGACTTCGTTTACACCTTCTTCTCGTGCGCTTGCCCCATCGCTCCGTTCTCTGAAACGAGACGCTGAGATCGAACTACCCATACATCATCCTGATCAGAGGCTCAGGACTTCGTACACTCCAATGGTAGAAAAGGTTCAGAGGAAGAGATTTCGAGGCGGGACCAGGGACGCAATGCGAAGGAAAACCCCTGCAGACGTTTAGGAGTGCAAGGAAGGCGGCTTTCACAATTCTTGAGGCGGACACAACACCGTACTCTAAGCACGCGCCCTTTTTGCATCTACGGAGGAAGCTTCGTGACGAAGACCTGTCTTACCTTGGCGTCCTTGACGTTCGGAAGGTTCTCGAGGAGCGCCTGCGTTCCGCGGCGATTGCCCCCGAGATGAGCGCGGAGCGCCCGTTCGAGAAGGACCAGCTCAGGCTGGTCTCGAAGCGCCGAGTCCCAGTTTCCGGCGGCCCGCGCATGCGAGGAGAGCCGAGCGAGGCGGATGCCTCTGCCCTTGATGCTCAGCAGATTCGACTTCTGCTTCACAGCCTGCAGTACAGGGTATGAGGCGTTTGCAATGTACAAGCCAGTCAAAAGTCTGATTGACTAACAAGTATAGAGAGCGATTGATACGTGACCACACTCAAATAAGGTGCAAGCCGTCACAAGCTACACAATGCTAGAACCTGCTCTCGACTGACGGCTACAAATGCCCATTGCCTCCCCGCAAGACACGTGTCAGGACCTAACAAGGATTCAAAACACGAGATCCCACGGACTCAAGCGAATATCCTTACCCTTACTCGAAGAGCCCTCTCGTTCACGTTCGCCGCAAAACGGTCAGCGCCAGCTGCCCTAAGGGCCAGCCGGTCTTTCACGTGCTTGACCATTTGCAGCTGCATGTCAAAACGGTTAGAGGCGCGGTAGGGCGTTTTGGCCGTGGACTTGTGGCTTGACTCGAAGATGTCAGCGTGGTACTCGTCACTGCCTCCTTTTAGGCGGACAGAAGGACTGAGATGCACAGTCGTGTGCACCTTGGAAGTCCCCCAGTCTGATGCTTGATAGGGCAGAACTTTCCTCAACATCTTCAGAACCCTGGCCCAACTCTCGTCGACTTTTTCGAGAGAAGAGTCCGTATGCCCCGAACCCCTATGTCTGACACCAAAATCCAGATAGGCGTTTGCAACTTCACGGAGCAAAGTGGTAATTTCATCTCGCCCGTTTGGGAGAGTGAAAACGCCCACGACCGCAAAAACCGCAACCTGCAGGAAAGAAGAGATAGATCGATCTGGATCCACGGTGAGCGGGAGGATCACTAACACATGATTGGCAACAGGAAGGTCATCCCGGACTAGTAACTTTCAGGACCCCCAATGGTTTCTAGACATCCACCCCAGTCAAGCGGCGCGGCTGACAATCACAATATTTCCCTCTCCAAGGCATCAATACACTGTACAGTAGTTCTAAGAGGCAGATTGTGCTGATCTTCGATTTCCCCTTGCAATCGTGAGCTTCATGGTGCACGCTCGCCTTTAGCTCACGAAAGTTTGTTCAAAAGCTCAGAAGGTTGTCAGCTCGTTCTCACCGAGAGGCAGTGCCGGTGTTCAAAGGCCGTGACGAATGATGAACCCCCCAGGAAGTCGATGTTGGGGAGACGGAGACCCGGATGGCTGTTCCGGAAACTCCGGTAGCGCAGGTTTGCTTTGGCCAAGAGCCGGTTCCCCTCCCTCGGACCAAACTTGTCCCGAGCATAGGTCCCGATGGCTTCGAAGATCTGGGGGAGAATACCATGGTCGAGCTGCGATGGGAGAGAAGAAACCGAGATCAGAAGCCTAGAAAAATTTCGGATAGTAACTGGCTTGGTATAGCCGCTGGGGACTCGTTATTAGCTGCACGTCGGAGAGCTTCGATCTTGAGATTGAAGACATTCCGAAAAAGTGAGCGGTCCGTCTTAGAGGTGAATATTGTCATGGGCCACTTGAGCGCATTTTACGAGCCTGAACAGTTGTCACTGACGGGGTGACCAGGAACGAAGAGCGGTAAGAGAACTGTCCGCACGACAATAAGCAACAGTGAAAGCCCGCAGGCCCGTTCTACGGTGCTCAACATACCTGGTGCATGATCTCGGGAAGGATGGAAAGATACGGATTCCCGGCCTCCGTGTTGCCTCCAGGCCAGTTCCAAAACGCATTCTGCAAGGGAGTCAACAAGTACGCCTAAGCAAAAGAGAGAACTATCAAAATATTACAGCGAGCTTTTCCACCTACAACATAATTACGAGGACGAAACCTAGCTCAATAAGAATGCTTTAAAGTGTGGGTTCAAGAAAACCAAGCCTGTATCCATGCACCCGCGGCAGATTGGTATGGAGCATGCACATGTTTCTTTGACAACTTTCAGAGTGTAGCTGAAGTACCGAGTTGACAGACCTCTGTCAAGCTTTCAAAACTGTGATCCATATGTTCCACCTGAGAAAGTTTCCTGTGACTGGAGCCCTACCTGAACCGGATTCACAGACCAGGCCTTCAGGAGTTGGGAGATGACCTCCTGGCAGCCTCCCTTCTTGTGAAGCCTAACCACTTGTTCGTAGATCTGGCGCATCTTTTCTTCAGTGCGGGGATCAGCTTGACTGCCTGCTGCAAAGTCGTTGAGCTCGGTGGACAGAACAAGGCAGGAATGACATGGGCACTTGGTTTTGTTGCCACTCTTGGTAGCAGCGGCAACGCAACCCTCCTGCCAGTCAGTGACCACAGCATAAAGCATAGGCCACACTTTTGTAACCGACCCACTGGCATCCGTCACGTCTAACCCCCTGCATATACCCAGGGAGAGAGGATTAGTCATTCTTGATGCGAAGGATGAAAGGCCCCTTCGACTTTGCTCGTACTCTCAAAGAGCTGACGGGTTGAGGCATATACAAGCTAGGAACAGGTCGCCTTTCCCTCGAAACAACGAAAAGTAACAACAGCGTATTGAAACCCGGAAGCACCAACAGCCTTGGAGCAGCGCCAAGAATGGAAGCTTCATTGACACACGTGCTCTACTTACGTGGTGGTATGCAGCTTCAAGCGGCGTAAGATCGTCTCGTACGACTCATGCCAGATCTGTAGTTGGCGAGTCCGTAAAGCGTCCGAGTTCTCAGACAGGCCAAGCTCCGGCCGAGGTTCGACATAAGGAATGTACCCAACCAACACCCAACCTGTAAACCTTCCCCTTAGCTCTTTAGGAATATTAGCCAGACTGAGCACAACTGGCCGCACTTTCTGTCTCCCACTCAGACTCAGGGGCGTGCCATCGCTGTAGAGAATAAGCGCAAGCACGGAGTCTGACAGCGGTATCACCTTCTGCACAGAAACAAAACCTTTATCAGAGATCCAGGTTTACGTGTTGCTTCAAAGGCTGTCCCCACTTTGCAGCTCGGCACTGTCCCCTTGCTGGTTGCACACAAGCGGAAGAGGAGGAATCAGGGACCTAATCATGTCTGTCAGCACGGCTTACCTGCATTTCATGCCACCACACACCACTGTGGGCGCCTTTATATACTCTTTCCCCTTTCTTGTTTCTCAACAGCACGGGTTTCAGAATCAGCTTTCCCGAGTGGGCAGGGTCCCGCCAAAGGCCCAAGACAGCTTCGTAAGCGTCGCAGTAATCCAGGAAGAGATCTTGGCCATCTTTCCCGTTGGCTCTTGCCAAGTTCACTCGCTTCCAACCCGCCTTGCACAACAAGAAATGCTCCATAAGCAGGACAATAAAGATGACTGCAAACGAATCGAGGAGACTGAAAACCTGGTTCATTGGAAAAGGCCTTGGAAGCAGAAATCAAGAGGTTAGGGTAAGAGATCCTGAACTACATAGATCCATGTACAGCTGGCGAGCCATGTCCGTTCCAAACAGCTTCGGTTACACAAGAACCAGAATCATCCAATCACCCGGTAGGGGAGTGCAGATAGCTTGGGGATAAGTCAGAACTCACCGGCTGCGGTAAAGTATCAATGTATGATTGAACATCCGCTGCACCTTTCAGCCCTGGGACGTCAGCAAAACTGAGCAACCAGTTCTGGTCATTGCGGGAAAGACCCTTGCCACCGCAGCATTGCTTAATAAAGCTGACATAGGCGTGCCTTTTGACGTCGTCTGCACTTTGAGAGGCAGCCGCTTGCAGTCCTTCCTGTTCAGTGCCTCGAACCTCTTGAAAACGGGGACCCTCTTGCTGTCCTACAGCTGATGTTCGAGGCTCTGGCGAGAGAGCATGTTCATATGCTGCTGGGGAAGCCCCACCGGAAGCTAGATCTGGCTGAGAGAGTGGTGGATCAGGCTGAGGGGATGGCTGATCTGGGGGAGGGGATGGCAGATCTTGCAGGGGACTCCCCCCAGCTTCTCGCCTTGCTGCGCTTGAGAAAGCGTTGAACTGGCGCTGCGGGGAACGTGTCCCTGTGGGGATCAGCTGGGGGTTGCAGCCATCCTGACCACGCCTGTGGTTAGTCAACTGCTGAAACGTATCAAAATGCTTTTGGCATCTGGGACAAGTAACCCTGCCACGAGCCCGCGGGCTGCCGCCAGCTCCAACTGCTGCAGTCCGGCTATCTGATCCAGCCCAAGAGGAGCGCGCTCTTGTGGGAGAGATTGTAAGCTGTGGAGCTAGCACATTGAGAAAGTGGTTAGGCATGCTCAGGAGCTATACATGCTGAAAAGATAATAATGACAGAGAAGCAATCTTAAATACCTCCCGATGTGAGCACTTAGCAGAACATGCGATGGAAACAGTGAGCCTGTCCCATTCGAACGTCCCAAAGTTTCCCATTGCAGAAAGACTTAAGTATGAAGTGCTTCCTTGGTGAACATCAGTGTGCATCTGCGCAACCACGAGAAGCGCCTGCCAACTCCTTGCATGAGCCTCTTACTAAGGATGCGTCCAGTGCCCGCATGCATGTTCCTTGGAGACCGTCATATGATGATGACTTTCAGAAACGTTGTTTGTGCCGCTTTCTTGCGGGTAAAAGGATGCCGGCGGCACTTTGGAGGAGACAACCGGGATCTTGTTGATGCAACATTGATCTTTGATTGTCAACAAGGAATCGACGGTCGAAATCGACGTTGATAACCAGCCGAGTCAAACATCGACGGCTGCGAACTAATGAATGCTGATCAAATGTCGAATCAACAATGGATTTGTTGTTGAAATTATTTGTCGTTGATCTGCTGTCAATTCAACAACATTTCAATCAAGTACCGAACCGCTGATGTAGCCGTGGCAATGGCCTGTCGGCATTCTTCTGCAGAGCTGTACCCTTGAACCTGAGCCACCCCACAGCTTAGCGTCAGCACTGCAAAAGCTAGGCGCAGAGAGAACATTGCTTTCTTGTGGAGCATCCGTGTCCTGAAAACTCCCATCTTGGACTTTGCCGGCGCCGGAAGAAAGACGAAAGAAGTGGGTCAGCTAGATCAATGTCTAAATCATGTGTTTCTATATACCGCAGTGAGACTCAGAGGCTTTTGCTGCTGATCTCCTGCAAGCTTTCTTAAATCAGCACTCCCCGCTTTTTGTTTGCGGGACTGTCACTGGAAAATGACTTCATGATATTTAGCGGTTCATGAGGCTCACCTCCGGCTAGGTTTTCTGGGCTTGTCACCACTGAAGGGAAGCCAGGACATAGGTAGGAATGCTGGGAATGTAGGGAACTCCCTTGAAATTCCCTCCGCAGTTCCCGGGATCACGCCAGCCTGAATTCAATTGAGTCAAGTCTGAGGGCCGAGGGCCGCATTCGGCATTCCTCATGTAGGACTAGGGTGCCCGGCCAAGCAAACTCGAATCCCCGACCACCATGATCGACACCAAATACCGCGGGTATATGGCGCGGTGGGCCCCTTGCTGAACCCGGTTTAACATAGTGGGTCGCTGCGGCTACGTTTACCCGTACAGTCGAGCCCGGACATGTACGGAATCCGGATGAGTCTGGAGTCTGGACTGTGGACATGCAAGTTGCAGCCAGAATCCAAATTGCATCTTGATGACAACATCATCCCATGCGGCACTCCGGCGTTCCAACTCCCGCGGATTTGGGGGGACGGTCGGCAAACTCGGACCGACAGGAAAGGAACACAAGAGGTTTTCGGGCTGCGGGTCTCGATCTTCACCGGTGTAATACTATCGACAGAAGGTTTTCGTACGTACGCCGTCGAAAGCTCATTCTGGAGTACCGTTAGCCTTGTCATATCCCTAAACAGAGCCGCACGACACGTGGCTATCGCAATGGGAGGCCATCAGCGAACAATAGCCGTCGATTAGTACTTAAAGCATCGAATCGAACCGTACCTTCTCGATCAGTTCGAACTTCGACGGCGAAGTGTTGACGTCCGCGAGTTCTCCGCGCGACGTTCGAAACGTCCGACGACGGCGGACTCGGCGGAGTCCGAGTCCCGGCGGCCGGCGATGGCGGTAGTGGGCCGCGAACCTGGGCGCGCGCGCCCCGCCTCGCTGAGAATTAATCATGATATCGTGTTGGCTGCGCATTGGCTGTGTGTTCACGAAGTCGCTCTCAAGTCGACGATACGAGCGTGCGACGAGCGTCATCACAAATACTGTTTGGCATTATCATCCTGACTGATCTAAAGGTGCGGGACCTCGCGTGGAAAGGACGAGTGAACCGGCGTGACGAAAGAGCCTGCTGAGAGTCAACTTCCGGCGCTCCAATTCGAATTTTCGAGCATTCGAATCTTCTAGGCAGAAGAGTCTCTACGTCCTTCTAGGACTTCTGAATTGGTGAATCAAGTCTTGTTGTCGGTCAGTCGGTGGCCATGCAGCAACCAGTCAGTCTTCTTCTGATCGCTTCGAGGCGAAGCCAAGCGCGCGCAAACGATGCGCAAATCAGCTGACGCTCAAGAAGCTGTCAATCCAGTCTGGAAATCGTCGCACCTTGAGCGGGAAAATTCCGGTCTGCATCAACGTCCAACTACCAAGATACCTGCGCACCTGAAAGTTCCTACGAATACACTACTGTAGGATTGATCAGGATAGAATTGTCGAAAGCGGCCTGACAGCTCGACCACAGCAAGCGCTTCTCTTGAGAAGGGAGAGAAGCTCGTATAATAGGAAAGGGGGGCGCTCTTTGCTGAAGAAGGAAGAAGGGGCGACCTCCAACCAAGCGTTCGAGCAGAAAGCTGGTGCTGAAGATCAGCTTGTGTGGGGTGCAGCGCTAGCCTTTTCTGTGCATTTTTCCTCGAAGTCTCTCCTTCCCATGATTTAGCTCAGCTGTGTGCGCTAAGCTTCTGCAAGTTTCCTGCAGTCTGCGTGAGAGCAGGATGGACGCCTTCCAGGACCTTGAGCCACTATCCGTAGATGGGAAACCGGCACTCGATGAGTGCTTTGTGGACATACCAGACTGTTTGGAGATGACGTCCGAGAGTCTCGATCGCCTAAGCAGAGAGACTGAAGGAAACGTTGATGTGGACAGCCTTCTGCAGCCAGACTACTCTGGCTTCACGTTCTGGTCGAGCGACTCTGCGCAAGTTGAAACGAAGGGAGCAGCTGAAATTTGGAAGACTGGTGCCGGAATATTCTTGCCAGCAGCCTCCTCAGAACAGACTTTCCTTTCTTCTTTGACCAAACGCTTGAGTGTGGAGTCTTTGCAGACGTCGATTGACAGCAGACATGTGCCTTTTAAGTCAGGATATGTCGAATCAGAACCAGAGCTCTTCTCTAGCATGACTCAGCAAGGGGATTCCATGGTGTTCGTACCTTCAACAGTCAGCGCTGCAGACGGTAGTCAGAATCTTAGAGGAGACGCTGAGAAGCCTGTCAAAGTATTCAAACGAAAGCGTCAGCTTGAATCGGGGAATTTATCTCCACCAAGATTGAAAAAGCTCAAGGTTAGATCGAGTACGAATAAGCTGGAAAAAGAGCAAGGGTCAATGACTACAGGAAGCTCGTCTCGACGGAAGGGAGCGGATTACTCAGCCGTCTCAGACGCCAGTCAAAGGGGAGAGTGTCTCGAGCCAGTTCCGGAGACACCAAGTTCCAGTGTCTCAACAAATCCTACTTCCTCGCGAAGGAAAGATGCCTCAACCGGAGACGCCACCAGAAAAAAGAAGGTACCGTTGCAGGAGACGGTGCTTACGCAAAGCTCGCCGAATCTTCCAAGGAACAGGGCTGACGGCCCTGTGCAGAATGAAGAGCTGGACAAGCCTTCTAGAAAAAGAACGAAGAAAAGCTTCGCTGACGAGATTGACGTCGAGAAAGGAAGCATCAAATCGGAGAAGAAAGGGCGTAGCAACATCAAGCAGGAAGGTCAAACTTCAACCATGAAGCCTCAGAAGGAGCAACGTCCTGGAAAGGTGCAGAAACGTACAGTAAGTCCTTGTTCTGACATTCAAAAAGCATCTGGGAAATGTGGCAAGCTTTCAAAATGTTGCATGTGTGATTATGAGAGTGCTTCTGTGGTTGATTCGGTTCTTTCGGAGGCCTTTAGTTGACATATCTCTTAGCAGACTCAATTTGAGAGCGCAATCTCTACAGATTCCCTAATTTAGCACGATTCTGTCTGTTAGCTTTGAAGATCTACTTCGCGACGTGGTGCGGAAGAGTCTGTACAAAAACTTTTGCAGATGCTGATAATTCGATCTCCTGTGCTTGCAGCTTCCAAAGGAGAGCTTACAAGTTCTCAAGGAATGGGCTCAGAGTTCCGCAATGACCCCATATCCGAACAAGGAAACAAAGCAGGAATTGGCAGAAGCGGCTAATCTCACTTTCTACCAGGTAGACTTCCTGACCGTCCCCAACTTAAGACAGCCCTGTGACTGTTTTTCCACGCCCCCCAGCACTTGCTGTTACTAGTAATACAAACGCAAAGGACCTCAGCTCAGTATTATGCCTTAAAACGATTCGTTTGCCTCTCGTTCTTCTTCAGCACAACCAGAGCTCCGATATGATTGCTTCTCTGTCTTTCTAAGCTAGAAAGACCGGTCGGCTTCTGAAAGAGAGCAACTTTAATCCTGATCTTCTTCATCCATCTCCTTTGAGTAGACAGCTGTATCATCAGCGTCGGCCGTTATCTCGGAGTTTCTGACACTTTCTTGTTACTCGTTAGGTTGACAACTGGCTAGCTGGCGCACGTAACAGGACGCATCTCATCAAGGTGCCTCGGAACCTGAAGCTGCTGAGCAAAGGTCTACGAGGCAAAGCGAGCCAGCTCGCAAGCATTTAGAGGTTCCAAGAGTGTTTTCAGACCGAGCCAGTCGAAACCGAAACAGTAGAGAACAGGAAGTAGGTTCAAAGCATGTGAAACTGGTGTTAGAGGTGTGATTGAAGGACGTCTGTATCATAGAAACATAACCATTTGAGCGCGCTTTGTAGACGAAGTCGAAGGCACCTGTGAGAGTTCATACCGCCATGCAAGTCGATTGACTCGACAATATACGCAGAGATGCAGAAGATGAAAGGCAAAGATAGCAAAATAGCTTTAGTAGGGCGCGGTCAGATGGACAGATGCAGGCACTCGAACGAAGCAGAGCCTGATGGTTCGCAGTGCGACTAAAAGTCAGATAAGTTGAGTCTCCCAAAATCATTGCCGGTTTTGATGCCATCATGGAAGCCTATAGCTAACTTGCTACTTCATTTACGCCATCTATCCTTGGATATACCGGACTTTAAAGCTAGGATCCACTGATTCCAGAGGATAATTTCAAAATGTTGATGTATTGAATTTCACCATCTTTCTCATAAGTTGGCATAATTACATTCCGTGAATCAACGAGGTAACAGCAGCATATGCAGAGGTACGTAGTCGGTTGAACCGGAACGGTATCATGAGTTTCGTTAGTACCCTTTATAATTAGAGCTAAGAACGTGCTCTCCCGGACGGTGTAGACCGCGTAGTAATGCATGGATTACGGCCGCCATATGGATATCTATTCATGCGCGGCACATGCCATCACGCATGCATGTCGACGGATTAATTCCTCACAGATCAAAATATCAGATTCTCGCATGCATGCCGTGCGCGCGCTAAAGTCCAATGCATGCATGCCAGCAAGAATGTATGTCAGGCCTGGCATTATTAAGATCGACAATTTTAAGCAGTGCATCACAGAATCAGATATAGACGGAGTACGTCTGGCTTTGAATGCAGCACGCAGTAAGCACATTCGATCGACAGCATGTTGGTTATTTCTGCCAGTATACAAGTATGTGTCAGTGGGAGCATGTACGTTGCAATTCACAATTTCTGCATTACAGTCGTACAGTGTTTGACACGACGCCATATCAGATGCAAAGCACCGCTTTCACGTTCATTTCAACGTTGGAACCCGCCCCAGAACATGCCGATGAGATTCCTGTTTCGACCATCGAGTCAACTCGTCGTAAGGACTGTACTGCAACCATGCAGCCCGGCATGCCATTGCGCTCTCGCAAAGAATTGAAGCGACAATTGAGACTACTGCACAGAAGGCCTCGCTTAGCTTGTAAAGTAACACCGTTAGGCAATCCTTGTCAGCCCACGCGTATCTCCAGAGAGTGAGCGAGCCTTGGATTTCAGCTAACAGCTATCAGATCAGGTGCTTCCGTCTCGATAGAAAGGAGCGTCGAGTGCACCTTTGTTAGCCAGGAGTCGAGCCTATCGCGCAAGCCCGAGATTTGTGTGACGGCTAGGACCCGCGGTTGGACCCAGGAAACACGCACGGTGCCGTCGACCTGGTCGATGACGCCCTCTATCAAATGAACCTGCAAACAAATATTCATGTATTCGTCGACTGACAACATACGACAACTTCAGACAAGCCAAGCCGATGTAGGTAACACTTCTTAGAATGATTTCGTTGCAGCTTGACCAAACAGATCCGGATGCAGAGAAATTTACAAAGATGGCGGGAGCGGTCGATGGGAGGAGCGCTCACCGAAAGCGTTTTCATTAGCAGAAATTCGACCCCGTCGATGGGAAGCTTCGTCCTCTCCGCGATCTCAGCGAGCGAGATCGTCCTGTCCTCTGAGGGCCGGCTGCAAAGAAAGAACAACTTGTAAGATGCCCAACAGGCGAGAGATAGGTTCTACTAGCGCCTGATTTCTTGTGTGACTTTCAGACCCTTCTTCATGCGGGCAGGAAGATTTACTTGACACCACTCGGAGCTTCTCACTTGTGCACAGGCCCTGCTACACCCAAGTGTCTTCCTGCAGTACCCCTCAAAGAAAGTACACAGGCCAAGTCAGCAGATGACTGCAACAAGGGACAAAACAGTAAAAACCGGACAAAGATAGACAGAACTTTAAGGGTCAGAAGAGAGAGAAGAGCTAGTCGTCGGCGCCCTCAAACACGAGCTCGAAAAACAAGTCTCGTGAAGCAACAACTCAGAAAAAGAAGCCCGAGGATTACAAAGAAAAAAGGCGCCAGCAGGCAACTGGAAAGCAAAAGCGGACCGAAAGCTCAGCGCACCTGAAGACGAGCTCCAGCAAGCTGAGGATGGTAATCTTCTCCCGAAGCCGGCGCTCGTTGGCCACCAGCGCAGGCTGCGCGTTGAGCTGCTTTGCATACTGGTTGCACAGTGCGTCGTACTTGCTGAGGTCGCCTGCGTTGAACGCGTGCACGATCTGGAACAGCCACTCGGCGCCCTTGTTGCTCTCCAAGACCTTCATCTGCGCAAAGGGGAGAGGTCGTTCAGGAAGTGAGGGCTCAGATGTGCTTGAGTGCAAGACCTCTAGGTCTTGACATTCGTCTGCTTAAGTCTGCCTCTGCCAGAACGGCTTCCATCGAGTCAGCTGGAGGCACGAAAATTCTAGGACGTGTCATTCGACAAGTGATGGTACCCTCGCAGTCACTAGCGTCCGACAAGACCGCTGGACGATTGTTTGCCAGAATTTGTTTTTGGCAGAATTGAAGTCTGAGACGTAAGAACAGAGGTTGTAGGTGCAGGGGTGTTCTCGAAAGTGTTGATGCCTGTTCCACAAGGAGAGAACCCGTCTACAGTAGCGCGTTTTGGCTACTTCCTCTAGAGAGTCTTGTACACAAGGCACGTGCCTAAAGCTCAGCCTCCAAGGTCAACAACGATTGAAAACTATCTTTGAGTCGAGGAGGAGCTCTGGCGATTCCTGGTCTATCTTCTTTCCTCCAAGATCCTGAAGCAGCCAATCTACCAATGATGTGCTCTATCAGTCTTGGCGGATCAGCGATTTCGTGACAAGAGATTCAGAAGAGGAAACTGGTTTGCTCTCCCGTTATATATCCGACAATGCTCAGTGGCACGCGGTAGACCCAATTCGATTGCTGAGAACCAACCATGATGCTTTTTCTTTATGACTGGAAAGTTTGGAAGACTTGCAGGTACTCACGATTGGGTGCGCAAGCAGCTCTCCGAAGTTGTAGATGTTCTCTCCCAGGAGAGCAGCGAGAGAAAGGTCGACAGAAAAGTTCTGCAAGCAAGGGTGCACAGACTTTCAAAGATAGACAAGCTTGCGATGCTCAGCTGTTGCTCACTTTCAAGAGAGTTCCATAGAAGGTGGTGCAATAGAAGGTGAGAAAATTTCTTTTGTCGAGCTAGGACCGAGTGAGCAAAACTCCTCTAAAAGTTGGCATGAGAAAATTGGCAGTAGACTCGTCCTCTAAAGACAGCTTGCTCAGGAAAAGGCCATCTCCAGGCAGCAATGGCTCACCAGCTTGAAGTCCTCTGAGAGAGTATCGACCGAGGTGTACGAGAGGTACTGCAGCGCACTCCGGTAGAACTCGGCAAAGTCCTGCCGCGACTTGTGGTACTGCGAGCTGACCCAGTACACGCTAGCGTGCACACTGGGGTCCACGTCTGCCATGCTCTCCAGCGTGCCCTTCCCCTCCTCCAGCAAGTCCTTGGTGGCCTTATCCTCCCCGCCTTGCAGCTTCAGTTTCGCAATCTGGAACAGAGCAAGCGCTTTTCATCATTGATCGAATGTCAAGTTCTCTGGCTGGAGTCAAGCTGTGCAGCAGAAGAATCAGAAAAGGAAACGACCGCCACGACAGGAAGTAGAAGCGAAGTTTCCGGGGTGCTGACATCTAATCAGCACAACTGCTCCATGCTCATTAAAAACACCAAATCTTGGTAAGTGGGGAGGATGACGAAACCCTTGAGGCTGCCTTCCTTTTTCAGTCTTCAGCACGAAAAAGCTTCTATATCTTCATCAGAGGCTATGTTGAATGCCCAAATGTCCTGCTCTCCGCGATCCTTCGTGATCTCAAACTGATTTACAAGGTGGCACTGACGGTTGGACACGGGCAAGTTTCACAGCAGAACGCTGACCTGCATTTTGACATACAGGACAGGCTCCTCCACCCGCGCCTGCTTTGTTTGCCTCAGCTTCTCCACAATCTGCTCCAGGTAGGCAATGGCAGCGTCCTTTTCTCTGTACTGCCTCGATACGACGACCGCAAATTGCGCCAGCTTGAGCAGGTTGATCTTGGTCTCAAAGTCGGCAATGAAGTTATGATATAGCTGGATCAGGCCATCGCCAGACTGCAGAAAGAGAACATTTTGGTGAGGCCACAAAGCTGCGTCACCAATAAGCACAGGGAGACTGAGCAAGTCTGACCCCAAACAACACCTTCGTGTGTTGGCTGCTCACCACCGAGACATGCAAAGCATAGGCAGAGAGGTTTTAAAAATAGATAGACAAATGATCAAGGCAAGGCAGTCCTGAGAGGACCAGGTCAATAAGCTTCAAACCCAAGATGAGAGTTGCAAACTGTAGCAAGCTCGTATATGCCTTCAGCTTGCAGTTGATCACAAGGATTGCGCTCGATGGTGGAGATGCAAAGACCAGGAGACTAGAAGACCACTATTTTGTGTCCCAGCTCACACAAAAATCTCACACAAGAACCAACCAAAGAGACTAGGACAGCGTGCAGACGATCATGATCATGCTCCTCAATCACTAGCGGCACATGGAAAATATGATCCTTCGGCTTGAGAGGATCCCAGATTGATTTGTTACAATCACAAAAACACAACTGCTACATGAAACATGGACATCCAAAGATGGCCACTGGCATGCAACGGATGCAGCAGAAGAAGGGATGTATCGATACTGGATATTCGCACACCAATACCCACCTGCAGGGCTGCTAAAGACACAAATTGCTCCAATTTCACGGTCAGTTGATGCCATAGCTTCCTCTGATAGAGGTCCCCAAACTGCTGATACCATTCTGCGAGCTCTGGATGAGCGACCTGCTGATCTTCGAGGAACTTGAGAGGCGCCATCTCAGCCGCCGGTCTGTGACTTTACTCCGTGGAATCTTAGCACGCCACTGAAGCTGTGAAGATGAGATGGCAAAAAGGCAGCACCACTACCCAGCCACCACCAGCGCTTCTGCTCTCTCTCCCCTGTTCAGAATCTGGATTGGTGCCGTCAAAGCCTGAACCGATAACCGTCCTTCGAACCACTGCGAGAGAGCCCGGTTTCACTGCAAAAAGTTCAATGGTTAGGCTAACCACTTGCCTCATGCAACTAGGTAGGTATCGAGTCCATGGCACTGATCGTTTCGCGCCGCTCGCGCGGCCGCACCCAAGCGCGGTCGGCGGCCGCGGTCGACCTTGCGGCGGCTTGTGTCTGGCAGTCAGGCCGCCGATCTCAGGGCAATCTCATCGTCCGATCACGGTGCGACTCGGAATCAGCCTTTGCTCAGCCTTTGGAGGAGGCTGGGCTGCCGGGCCCCGCGTATCAACGATTGTGTCGTTTACGGGACGGTTTGCAAAGCCGGTTGCAAAGTGACCATGGCTGGCGGGAACCAGGTAGTATGCTAGTCGCGTGTGGCCCACGTCATGGAAGAGCGCAACTCTACTGAGCGAAGTCAACGTCACTATGGGTTCACTATTTGCCTTCGAATTATCGAGATAGCGTTGCACAGGGCATGTGAATGTTACACCTTTATCCTCATCTTTTTCACATTGAGCTGTCCGCATTCGCCGGTGTCATCGCAGCGACGGTTTCGCGGCGGCGCTGGCCAGCCGTCGGCCAGAATCCTACTGCCTGAATCACTGTTCGAGCCCTCACGAGCTGTCTAATTGGTAATATGTGTATACAGGGCCCTCAGAGCGGATGGACCCTACATGATGGACTTGATCAGCAGCGGGCATTCGAGGCGCCGGACATAACAGTGTGCTATAAGGTTCCTGCTCACCGATACATAATCTCTAATCTAGCTGAGACAACACATGAGCCGAGAAGGTTTTTACAACACCATTGAGTTCTAGTGCCTTTCTCGGTGGCACGCCTGAAGAGAAGGGGCAACTGAGCGTGGCGGGGCAGCTTTCACGCCTCGTCAAGATGCACGCACGGTGGTGACTCCAGTGATCACCAGTATAGACGGACGACATTGCTTGCGGTCTCGAAACCGCCCTGGAATGGTACTTAAACCTTGAAAGGTAACGGAAAAAAAGCTGAGCTGAAGTAACGGGGGCCAGCCTTTCTTCACCTTGTTTTAAGATCCTGCGTACTAGTGCTTTGGCCACAGCATCCAAATGAATACAGCCTCGATGACGGCTCAAACCGAAAGACTCTTGGAAGCTGCCAAAGTGACCACGTTCGCCCATAAACTGCCAACAGGTCTTCTGAAACTTGCAGCACGAATGTTGTAAACGAGCAAGCAAAGCAGCGCTTCCCATGATTTCAGTCGCATGCCCATAAAGGATTCGAGTACAAGGCTTTCAGCCGTTGATTCCCAACCAGGCATCCCGAGACCACTAGATGAGGGGAAAAGATGAGCAGGACGAATTAGTCGCTCATGTTTCATAGTGCCAAGCCGGTCGCAATGCTGTTTGAAACTGAGAAGCGGAACAAACCGTAAGGGCAGCCGACAGGAAAGACGGAAGACCCCTGGTCGGAGGAGCAGATAGCAAAGTTTTCAAGCCATTCGATTCGATCAATGTGGACAGGAGTCACTCTGATACTAGGAAATGGAACGATAATAATTCTTGCCAAGATGTCACTTGTTTCGCCAGCGGTTCAGAGCCATCGGAACGAAAGGAGCAACGGGAGAAAGCCGGGACTTGTACGATACTTGTTGAGGAAGCCGAAGCCCTATCCAACCGATATACCAGAGAGCGAATTAAAGGTCGAGGCGCCAGGATTCTCTGGGATTCTTTGAATCTGGAAAGTGAGATGCCAACGCGAAGAAAGGCCTTGCTGGAATGCTTCCAGCAAAAACAGTCCGACAGTTCGGCCCGAGAAAAAATGCATTGAAGCGAGCACTCAAATCCGAAGCACTAGAGAATCTTCACTGTCTTACAATCACGAGCGGCTTCCAGTAGCTCCCGTTTCTGACTACCTGACTGGCTGCACGCAGAATTGAAACGCATCAGAGATGACCAGCAGCTCGGAAGCAGGATCACCGGCCAAAACGCGAGCCCTGGATCAACCCGGACTGCCGATAAGCGGGAGCCTTGAGCAAAGGCGTGGCCCCCTCGGTTAAGTGGATCCCAACCCAAAATGCCGAGACTTGAATATTCGCTCGACAAAAACTGGCCACAGACAGCCCGAAGAGGCTTTTAAAGCCCGAACAGGCTAACATGCTAATCACGGACACGAAGGACATACCAGGCGGAACAGGTCAATTTATGCGCCTTAAAATCGGCCGTCCAGCTCGCTTAGCAGAATCTTGGGGGACAACATCGGACGGCCCAAGTAAGTGAAGCTGATTTTGGAGCTTATTGAAGGCCAACGGTCGGTCTCTAAGACGGGCCGGCAAGATTGGACAGCCGAGTTTGTGCACGGCAAACGGAAGTAAGACAAACGGACTTGGGCTTGGACTCACACGGAAGTCTCATGGGGACTAGCTTTGAATGTTTCACTCAACGATTTGACGTTCTTGGCGTAACTACTAAGTTTTGATCCTTGCGAATACCCTTTGACAGGACAGAGCCGCCTTACAGAGGCAGCTCTCTCAAAACAAACCTGAGACCTTGAAATTGAGACGCCCCTGAGACGTGCCCTCTGTACACAATGCATATCAAGAACGCGCGCGCAATTGCCCGGAGCCCTCCAGTCACGCTTCGAACGGTGCATCGGATACTGCAGAGAAAGCCAGAGCTCCGCAGACGGACCAGTCACGGGACTCAAAGGCACGGTTTCACGGCCGGTTAGTGCAAAGCGGGACTGAAGGTGCTTCGGCTATCGCTGAGTGATCCTGGTCAGCCGAGAAATAAAAGAAGCGTGCAGGGCATGGATCACTCCAAGTTTTTCCCGGACCCGATCAACAAGTTGCGTTCAATATCTGAGAATCTGATATAATCACTGTAAAGAGAATCAGCGTCATAGCTGTACTTGCGTGTCTGAATTCGTCACTTCGTTTGCCGACATTTCTAGCAAACTTGTTCTTCTCTTTCTGACTTTCCTCGAACCGAGGCTTACGGGCTGACTGACTCCTTCTCCCTGGGCAGGTTGATCATGCTTTCCATGGTGGTGTGCCACTCCAGGACATAGTCAAACACAGGGATGTCGGTGTCGTCATTGCCCAGCGGATCCGCGAGCACGTTGGCGAGCTCGCGCAGGCTTTGGAATCCCAGCGTCGGTAGCAAAACCGGCACGCATCCTAGGTAGCCGGCAACGAAGACGAACTGGTACGCCATCACGAAGAGGAAGGACGTTGTGAGGATCGCGATCAGGTGATACAGCGCGAACGGGACCTGCGCAGCGAGATTGTCAAATGACAGTCAGGAGGTCTGCTGCCCATGATTCAGGGCTTCTTTGTGGCGTGAGTCAGAGTACGTATCAGCTGTCCAAACATTCTAGGCGACATTCTCGTGGTAAATTTGTTTTGGTATTCGCAGGTTTTAGTAGGCCGGGTTGGAAAGTCCTTAAGCAGGACGTCGAAGCCCGGCTTGAAGAGCCGTCGTCCTGCGGCCGTCCGGAAGGTGAGCGCAAGGCTTGCTGAAAGGAAACCGCATGACAGTAGGTGTGGAATGTCAGCGGAGTGCTGTTACGCGGATATCACGATGTAAAGGAGGAACGGTTCAATAAAAGCATTCCTGGAAGACCTTTATTTTGCATGCGGGCAGATACAGCTTGGCGTTCCATGAGTAGCGGTTCGAATCCAGATTCAAAGATTTGCATATATCATGCATGACCTTTCGAATGATCAGTGTATCATCTTACTGGCGTCGGTAACCAGCTTCGTATGCTGGCATGCCGCACCTCCTATACAGTCTGCATGCTGAGCTCAATTCTGTATCAAGACTGCGCGTCCGCGACCTAACAAAATGGCTTCAAAAGCTTTGTACACACAGATCGCCTGTGGGATGCGGACTCTAATTAGGCAGCCCGCGGCCGGCAGGGGCTTCTATATCCAAGCATCAGCGTTGTTTTAGCAGATTTCTGTCGCAGTCACGACCCCGTTACTGTGTTCCGGTATTGGCAGTTTTGACGACTCGAGAGCCTTACTACGGGTACTTTCTTGGGCTCCAACTGTTGCCGGTTAGATCTGAGCGACTGAAACGCTGTCTGATGCGGCCTAGCTCCAATGGACATTTTTCTTGGACGAACCTCCGACACTTTCTTTTTATGAAAGTCGAGCCATAACTATTTTGCGAGACTTCCGACTGCACGTACTCTGAGATCCGCTACACAAGTGCTTCAAACAGCGCCTGACAACTCCCGGGCCTTAGAATAATTCAAATACCACTGAGCTCGGACTTGCCGGATGAAGGTCCCATTCCAGTGCGTGTCCAGTGCGGATGAGGATGAAGGTCTTATTCCGGTGTGGGTGGACAAAGTGCTTGTAATTTACACAACCTTTTGGTTCCCTTCGTCGCTTTCGACTGACTAGCTCAGCAGGGGGCGTCCGAGTCCCTTTTCAGAGTCCTCAACCCCTTCTAATCTTGGCGGCGCTCCCTTCGAAGCGGCTGTACGGGCGCGCACTTTCGCGGCCAGGTCCTCCCAGTCCGTCTTCCACACCAGGGTCACCTCGGACGTCAGCTGCGCCGCCACGTCAGCGATGACCATCCCCAGCCACAGCCCGCAGACACCCAGGCCCCCCAGCGCGCCCGACGCCGCGATCCCCAGCGGGTATTGCGTGATCAACGATGAGGAACACGAAGTGCGGCCGCGCGCTCCCGCGCAGAATCCCCTGCGCGATTTCCTGCGGGCTGTCCAGGAGCGATTACCCGGCCAGGACGAGCAGGACCTGCGTATAAAGACTTCGAGTTAGGTGAAGTAAGCTTTAGTTAAAGTAAGCCAAGCAGCCTGGGACGGGTGGGGTTGGTTAACGTTTGTGGGTTTAGGGTGGGTACGGGTGCGGAGCAGGTGATGCTTTTACTCTTAGGCTAGGAGCTTACTATACCTAGAGATTACTATACGTAGAGCTTACTATCATAAGATTGAAGAGAAATCACCTGCGCCGCGAGGCAGGCGGTCTCGGGCTCGGAGGTGAGCGCCGCAATGAAGTGGCGCCGGAAGGCCGCGAGCGCGGCCGCGATGGCGGCGCCTAAAGCGACGCCGACCGCGATGAAGGCCTTGGAAGCGGCTCGTGCAACGTGGGGCTTGTTTGCACCCAGGGCTACCGCGATCCGCGTACTGCAAAAGGCAAGAGACGAAGCGGGTGGGTTAGACCGTAACTCCTCCGCTTCTGATCCACGAATGTGGGCCTCCCTCAAGCGGTCGAAGCAATAAAATATCTCTACAAGCGGGGCTGAGCTTGAAGAACTGTCTCCGGTGCTGGGTTCGGAATAGAAAAGAGGAATCTGGTGTTGGAGCAAGTGATGCCGATTTGATTCCGAGACTGTAGTCTTAATCATGCAAGCCTCGTTAGCCACTGGTTAGATGCACCTTCAGCAAGACCGTCTTCTTAAAAGTTGGTCAACGTCCGTTAACCAGGTGGATCTGGAAGCGGAATCTTCCTGTCATCACCGAAAGACGGCCCGATCATGCAACTATACAAACGAATGACCTCGTATGCCAAAACCTGGTCCGGTAATATAACGGAACTGCCACAGCAGGCTCGACGGATAGGCAGTGTGAGTGCGTCTTCATACCTGGATGCGGTTGCAACGCCAAATGTGACACCGGACAGTGAAGCGTTCAGGTTGAAGCAGATGGAAAGGGCACCGATGCTGTACGCCGGATTCTGCATCGACACGCAATAGCTTTTAGATTAGAGATCAGTTGTAAATATCTGACGCAGCCAGTGTGCCGAGAAAGGAGGGCAATCTTCGAGTTGTTGCGACAGCCTAAAGACAGCCCCGCCCCCAAGCAGACCTCTGTATAACCGGCTATGAGATGAGTTCGCAAGAAACTGAGTAGGCCGATATTGAGCCACTCTTTAATGATGCTGTTTCTTTCCGTACTATTTCAAGACTGAGCTCGCGAGATATCAAAGACGTTCGAATCGTTTAGCATCTCGAAGAGACGAACCCGGGAGCCACAACTCCTGCCTGAAAACTCTGGCCATGTCAGCTTCCCTTGCACCGGAGGTGCACAAGTCGAGCCTTCCTAAGAATCAGGAGATGCAAAGCGGAGATTAGCCCAAAACTCACCGAGAGCCAGCCCGCCATGATTATCAGCGTTTCAAACGAACAGATTTGCAAGCAGAGGGCCGCGCAGCTTGGGATGCCCAATCTAAATGCACAAAAGCAGAAACCGTCTGAGTTGCCAATGTCAACTCTACACCTGTTGATCTTGACAAACGAAGTCGGAACGAACGGACAAGCGTGCCCAAAACTGCGGTTAAAATCCAGGAGCTGTATGGATAAAGAAGGCTCAGGGATTTCGTGAAGCGGTATGTCTGCAATCAAACAATCCGCAAAGAGGGATCACGTGTTGCTTCCGTCTTTCCTCTCTTCTTTCTTCCCGTTCAACTTTACATAACGCCCGTACGACGTAGAACTTGGAAAGTCCGGAGAAGCAGCTTGGAGCAAAAAACGCAAAAGCTGATTGGGGCTCCTTCGAGAGTATTCTAACACCCAAACGCCAAACGTGTAGAGGAAAAAGAGGACGTGCAGAGTACGACGTCAGCCACGCACTTGAGAAACGTCCCCCAACCGACCGCCCAGACACGTGGCGACAATCCGGGCCAGCAGCGCGCGAAGATCTGGCTCCGGACGCCGTAGGATAAGAGGTAAATAATGTG